GGCAGCCATTTAAATTTAAATGAAGCCGCGATTATTTTAATTGCGGCTTCATTTCCCTCTGCCGATCTGGCTAATCTACATGCCTCCGTCGAAGGAGGCATGTAGTCTAGACACACCCTAAGTGATTCTGTCCAAGTTAGCACTTAAAAATATATCCATGGGTCAGAGGACATGCAAGTGGTAGATCCACCACAACACAATGTCAGAAACAAGAAGCAGCTGAAATATGAATGTGTGGGAGTTTTGTTTGATTGATTTGTTTTGCTTTGCTTTGTAAATCAAAAAAAGATCTCAGCCCACTACCTTTTCAGGACCTAATTTGGGTTTGTTGACTCAATATTTGGGCTTACCCACCCCAGGAAGCATCGTTCATATGCCAATACTACAGTAACAGATGATCTTTGAATTTTAGTACTTCAACCATTTCAACGCTTTTTCCAATAAATATCCCAAACCCATAGTTTACATAAGGGGCAAAACCTGTAAGCAAACCAAATGATTCACTCTTGGACTAAAGATCCCTTCATTCAAAGCCCCAAGTAAACTTTTGTAACTGAATTACAAACTCTTGCAAAACAGAGTTTTATAAATGAATTGCAGATAAACCTGAGTATATTTTGGCTATGTAAAGGCAGTTACTTCAGCAGTGGGGGGTTGTGACGGGGCAACTCCGCCCCGCACTGAAAGCCGCCCCGAACTCCGAGCTGGAGAGTCCGGAGGAGTGCCGAGTGGGGACAGAGGTCCGCGGGAAAACCCCAGCCGCGGAACGGCCGAGGGGAGCGTGGGCGGCAGAGCGGGGAACACGATCCGCCCATCGCCACTTGTGCACGCTGATGATGTCACCTGTGACATCATCTGGGGGACTCTGGAGGGCGGGGGTGGTGACGCCGGGGGAGGGCCGGCCCCGGACGCCATGGCGAGAAGTTTAAAAGGGTGTTGGGAAGCCGCAGAGGGGGAAGAAGGCGAGGAGGCGAAGAGGGTGAGAGGAGGCAACGACAAGGGAGGAAGAGAGGCTAACACACAAAACACGCTGCACAAAAACCTGGGACCAGGGATGGCAGCAGTGAGTCCCACCCTCGTTTCTACGGGTCAGACTTAAGTATGAGACCGGGGAAGAAATAGCCCAGGACAGGGTTGTGGACCCCGTGAGTGGGGGAGTTTAGGGGTCACAGTCCCTGCCACTGAGCAGGGACCGAGATACCTGCCTTAGGGCCCTGGGCTGGGGTTCAGAGAGAGTTAGGGCCCGGACCCCCTTCCCCGGCGCTAGGGGCGTAGACCGCGGGCCGCGCGGCCATACGGCCATATTGTAAACCCCAACATAGTGAAAGGAAGAAGGGAACTGGGAACGGAGCCACGAACAACGGCTTAGAGAAGCAATTACAACTCTGGGGAGTGTGGAGACTTGAACCCCCACGGGGGGGAATCTTTAACAGGGGTATAGAAATAAAAGCTTACATCAAAAAATGGATGTATGACAGCTAGTCTGGACTATCTCCACTTTAGCCTTGCTGCATTCCCTTCCTTACCAGTTTCCTTTTTCTGCAGGCAATAGCAACTAAGTAAATCATGTACCACATGCCTATAAAACTAAGCTGGCTCTTTATTAAGAGAACTATTTACACACAGGGCTGCAACTTACACTGTGCGCATACAGACTAACTTCCTGGCACTTAATACAAACTCATCCCTCCTGCAGCCTGTGCTCTTCTATTCCAGTTCCATACAGGTTGCTGTATCAGAGGCGTACAGAAGGAGTGAATAGTTTCTGTCCAACCTATGGCAGAATGTAACATAGCCAGTGTGCTACAGTTGATTGCCTGTTTTCGCATTGGGAATTATGGGCCAACAGATCACTTCAGATGCACAAAATGTAGTTCTGCACAACCACATGTCTGGATTTTTCCCATGTTTTATAATGGTGTGGGAGTGCTGCTTGTTCACTGTACCATCAATGGACAGTTGGATTTGTGTATGCTTATAATAAACCAGATTTGTTGTCGGTCAGCCAGGAAGACGGCACCTTTTCCATGAAAATATATTTCAATCAACTAACACTATAGAATTCTATCTAGCATGAAAAAAACAGTAAATAATATTTAGCTAATCATGGCTTTAATTATTTAGCACAAATTTCAAAACATAATTAGTATATGTCTGTACAAATCCTATCAGTAAATTCAGTATTAAGTGAGAATTTAGAACACATTATAATTTTAATCAGATTATACCCCTTGAAATTAATGCAATCTTATTTTAAGCTATGAAAATTTGTTTTGGTGCCTTGGAACAGAAAGCATTAATTTTGTCTGCATCTTCCTTTGTATACAGATAGACCTGCTATATGATTATTGTTAAATCTCATTTGCAAAGTCACGGTTAACTTGCTATAGTCATGTCTCTCTCTGCAATTCTCCCAGCTACTGAAACCACAAAAAAAAATTGGAGGTGAGGAATTCAATTATGAAGTGCACGTTTGATTTTCAGGTGTGACCATTTCTGCACACACATAGGACTTTTGCTTACTTTGAAGCCATACTTTACAAATGACATTAATTTATTAACAAAGAATGTAAGGGAAGATTTCGATGTGATTCAAATAAGTGCTAAAATAGTTTAATTTAGATGAGATTTGGTATATTCAGTTTATGTTCCTAATAAATTATAGTTAACAAACATAGTTATAGAGAATTATTATTAATTACTTATATAGCAAAGGAATGTTTTGCAAATACAGAGTTAGATGTGGGGACCATATCCCAATGTTTTTATTAATGAGATTATTCTCACTGGCTTTAATAGAGTTACTTGTCCAAGTAAAAGGGAAAGTTTGACCTCTGTTTCCTGCTACAAGTAGTTTTGCAAGCAATGAGAAAATGAGAGCAGGAGTCAGCTGAGGCATAATTGATCAGCAGTGGAAGTCTGGGCAAATGTAGTATTTTTTAAAAAATGATTTCATGAAGGACACATGCACAGGAAGGAGGCTGTGCCAAGCACAAGGGTGATATGACGCAAGGCACGAAGAGAAGAGCAGAGGAAGAAGACACAAGAGATGTTTAAGGATGTGTAATGGCTTTCAGGATGGGCCGCAGTTAGCTTCCCACAGAATCTAGAGTTCCTCTTAAAGATGTTATGAGAGCAGAAAGTCATCCTCCACATTCCCAAGAGGAGGGAGGTCAACAGATTTACTGGGCCCTTGGGCAAGGTTGGGGGGCCAGCTCTGCACTCCTGGAAATGGTGGGGCCTCAGATAGAAGGGACAGGGATGGAAGCAGTCAGCTCTCAGCACCATCCAGAGCATGTTCCACTGTGCCCCCCTGCCAGCCCTAAGCACTGTCCAGAGCATGCTGTGTGGGGCTCCAGCAGCGATATAAAGGGCTTGGGACTCTAGCCGCCACTGCTGCTACAGACAGGAGCCTGAGGTTCTTTTGAATCGCCATTCTCTGGAGTAATTGCCTCCTTATCCCTCTTTCCTCTCCACCACCTGTCCGTGGGCCTGCCCAAGATACATTGGGTCCTTTAAAAATGTTTCCACTAGTGAAGTGGTATCTGTTTATTCTATCATCTTCTATTCATTCTGTAGAGAGCTCATGTTCTGGGACATCTTGTTACCAGGCTTGCAATTTTTCCCATCCATTGTCTTAAAGGGAGGCTAACCAGAATGATCTTGAAAAGAGAAAAAAACATTTGAAGAAAAGTCCTTTGGGTTGGCCAATGTGTTTCTATATTCCCTTTGAATTATATATTGTTTTAATAATGGCTTCCTACCATAGGGGCAAACTCTTTTGTTTAATGATTGAGTGATGGTATAACCCTGAGCATATACTATATTTCTGTCTGTTGTCATGGAAGTGATTATGAGATGGCTTCTCTGCAGCATCAAGAGAAAACGGTCTAGGAGGAATCAAACTTCTTGTCTAAATATAAACAGCACCATGATAATTAGCATACACACTAAAATAATTGTGAAACAGCTGTAAGGTGAAAGGATTTTATTTTTAAATATATTTATCTGACACTCTGAGTACTAGTACATAGTTTTTAAAATAATACACAATGTACTGACCAAAGTCAGTCTTAAATAGACTCCCCCAGAACAAGCTAAATATAAGCTTCCCTGCCAGCCCCTTAGGCAAAGCCCTGAGAAAACAGATGGGCCTTACACTGTGCCCTGATGGTCCATAGACCAATGGGAAAAGTAAATTCCAGAGCTGAGTATCCTCCACCAAGAATGCACTGCTTTCAGATGTTCCCATGCAGGGCATGTCAACAAAAGTACCCTGATTGATCTCAGCTGTCATGACTGTCCATAAAGGGAGAGACAATTCCTTAGGCAGATAGGACTCAAACCACATAGAAGGTCATCAATCAAAATTAGTACCCAATATTTCTCCGAGAACTAAGCAGGAAGTCAAAGTAGATTTTGGAGGAAAATTGTAATTTACTCTGGGTGGATACTGTAACTAAATAAACAGGGTTTCTGCGTTCTGAACTATCGCTTACAAGTGGTGCTCCATTTAGCAAGCTTGATATATCTGAAAGTTTTCTCCAGTCTTAAAGTATCACTTTTTTAAAAAAAATAGCTCAGGCACACCGCTGAAAGCACTTTCTCCCAGAGCTTGTTGGCATCTTGCTCAGAGCTGCCAATGATCATATCACATTTTGTTCTGCATAGGGATCTTTTAATGTTTTATTATTTTCTTTCATATACAGCCACCAGTAGCTTCCTGGCATAAGCGATTAAGACTGCCACACTGTGGTAGCAGCAAGACTGTGAAGCTACTCATAATTTCACTAAAGCAAAACCTGGATAAAACCACACATTAACACATCACTGTTTGCTGCTTACTCAGCAGAATGTTTATTCTCATCTGCACTCTGGCTCCCTTCAGTTTTTTTATTATTATTAATTTCCTGAAGTAGTAGCTATGAGAATCATTCTCTGCAGAGGTCCAGACATTCTCAAATACCATAATTATCCCATTCAGTTTTTAGAGCGAACAATGGCACTAGAAATTAAAACTGGTGGGACAATAAGCGATTTATAATGTTTGGCCACTGCCTCCACCCTCATAACCAATGTTGGTTAAGGAGCCCTTTCCACAAGGTTTTGTTAGCATGTGTCTCATTTTTACAAGAAGGAAGAGGTGGGTTTGTCTAACCTTGTCTACATTTTTGTCTCCTATGTGGCCACTGGGCCCTTTCCTACCCACATGATGCAAATCCAGGATTCCCTTAGAACACTCCTAGGAGAGAGAGGGGAAAAGTCACCAAGTGCTAGCAGCATGAAAGTTGAATCGACACTAAAATGAATGGCGGAAAACCAAACTCAACAGAATCAATAACTTTCTTCAGTCATCTGAACTCTGATCATCTGAAGAAGTGGGCTGTTCCCACGAAACCTCATGATCCCATCTGCATGTTTTGTTAGTCTATAAAGTGCTACCAGACCATTTGTTGTTGTTTTCTTCAGTGGTTAGCTGCCCAGCTGCAACAGCAGCAGCTAATTCAGCAGATGACAGTGCAGCAGCAGCAATAGAAAACAGCTGGTATAGCATGCGGCTGCCCCAGGATCAGGTTGCAGTCCTAAATATGCCCCAGACCGTTAAGTACTACCACATGTGTCTTGATGGCCATCTGAACAACAGGCAATCTAGCAGGGTTCATAAAAGACGGGGTAGTCCAGGCTTGGAAGTAGTGCCAGATTTATGCACAAGCTAAGTTAGCTACATCTTAGGACCTCATATTATGAGTGACCTCTAAATACAAAGAAATTACTACAGGCTGAACCTCTCAAATCCAGGACTCTCTGATCCAGCAACATCTGTAGCCCTGTAGGAGCACAGATGTTGCTGGACCAAGGAGCCCTGTAAGCTGGGAGTGGGAACCAGCTGGGAAGCCCCAGTGGGAGTGAGGCTGGCACTGGCTGGATTGACCCAATCTCAGCCAGGAACCCCGAGTGGGAGAAGGGCCCGTAGTGGCCAGAAAAGCCTGTCTGGGAACCTCTGGTGACAGTGGGGCTGGCAGTGGCCAGGGAGTCCTGGCCCTAGAAAGCCTTGGGTTCGGGGGTCCCTGGTGGCAGCAGGGCCAGCGGACGCTGGGAGCCCAGCCCTGGGGAGCCCCAGTGGCAGTGGGGCCAGCAGAAGGGGGGAAGCCCTGGTCCAGGGAGCATGACAGCCCAGAGGGCAGCCCGGGAGGGGAGACGGTGGCCAGCAGGGGAGCACAGACCTCCCTTGGTTTGGCAAACTCCCTGGTTTGAGACCACTCAGACCACTGGCAGAGCACCCACAGCTACCCACAGTTGCCAGTATGTGTTTCTACTGATGGTGCACATCTGCACATGCCTTTGTGCACATAGCAACGTTTATTCTGCAAATGGATAGAAACATTAAAGGGAACATTGGTGAGATGTTTTTCTTAGCAGAAATATCTGCCTAGAATTTGTCCTTATGTGGTAGCCCAGGAGCTAAAAGATAATTTTTTTCAGAAGCACCTAATTCCTCATTTGCAAAAGTGAATGGTACTTCAGAGACTAACTCTTACTGAAAATCAGTTCAAATGAGGCTCCTAAGTAAGTACCTAGCTGACTTTTGAAAATGGGACTTAGGCTTCTAAGAGCATGTCTACGCTATGTGGAAGATCGACACTGCCGCAATTGGTCTTCTGGGATTCAGTTTTGTGAGTCTAGCATAGACTTGCTAAATCTAACTCAGAGGGCACCCCCATTGTCGCCAGTACTTCTCCTCAGGAGGAGTAAGGAAAGCTGATGGGAGTGTTTATTCCCATCGATCTCCTGCCATGTGGATGGTGATTTAAGATACATGGACTCCAGCTATGTAATTTATGCAGCTGGAGCTGCATATCTTATTTCGACCTTCCACTGCAGTATAAACTTAAAAAAACAAAAGGTCTAGTAGCACTTTATAGACTAACAAAACATGTAGATGGTATCGTGAGCTTTCGAGGGCACAGCCCACTTCTTCAGATGACCGGAGTTAGGAGTTTAGGATGTGCAGCTCCAAAATAAATAGGGGAGAGGGAGGCGAAAGGAAACAAGGAGCGTAGACCAGGCCTAAATGACTTAGGTGCTTTTAACATTTTTACCACAGAAGCTGTGCGGGTTCTTCCTGACACTTGAGCATGCAGAAGTGATTATGGTGGATTAATAGTTCACATAAATTATTTCCATCCAGAGGAAGTGACTGGATTTATAGGCATCAAGCAGGCAAACATCACCTTAGAAAGTGTGGAAAGCTATGTTTATAGAACTTTCCCCATTCAAACTAGGGTTGGCGTTATTTGGGGCCAAATAAAATTTGGTTGTGAGAATTGGCAAGACCCTACCCCTCATATTGTTTCATATCTTATGGTTAGATACTTACAGTTCAAAAAGAAAGTTAATTTTCTTGTGTTAACTGCAAATTTTCCATGTTCACAAACATTGTACAAACCTACATTTGCTATGAGTCTATACAAAATCTTTTTCATTTTTATGTAAAAGGTCATAGTACAGAATAATATTTGATTATTACATGGCCTAGTCTTGAAACATCTCAGGGCAGAGTCCAAAGCTATGAATTAACGTGATATTTAAAAAGAAGATATGAACATGTTTTTTACATCTGAATGTATATGCCCATCTGTTTTCACATATTACATCAAATCAGCCGATGACAAATTTATACCTTTTCTAACTACATCTATGTTCAGTAGATCTGATTCATTCAGTAGTATGTCAAAAATACTCATTTTCCAGCACTGAAATACTGTGTCTGATATTTACTTTAAAGTTTAAAGATGGATAATTAAACGAAAAAATGTACAAGAATGTAACAAAGTTGGGGATTTAAATGTACATAAATAAGGAAACAAAAGGATAAAGTTCTCACAAATTTACTTCTGACCCAATGCATATTTGAAATATGTAGTTCTAGAAGATTAACTTGGCATTCCTTGGGTCCTTGACTCAATTAATTTTTGTTTTTCTTCATTTAAATCATTGCTCTGGAGCACGGATAGGAATGAGGGGTTCAGTGCGCAGGCTGCCCTGGAGAATGAGGACTACCCCAGCCCTCTCTCACTGCAGCAACTTGGGGCCAGGTGAGAAGCACCTTTCCATGACTACTGCAGCTCCAGCAGGCACAGCGGGGGCAGGGCTGTATGTCCCCTGGTTGGGGCACGTCCAGGTTCTTCTGCCCCTTGAACTCTTATCTCAGTGCTACAATGTTATGCCAGAGGTGATTCTCAGTTGGTTCAAACTAGCTGGTGTGCACACTGCCCTGCATGTCTGTGATTAGCCAGTGATCGGGGCTGGACATCATAAGAGAACGCTAAAAATGGGACTCAGGAACTAGAGTGCACCTATTGTTAACCTGAAAAGCAAAGTGAGGGCAAACATTGCCCAGAAGAGATTGTCTGGGTGGGTGTGACATTCCAGTGTGCAATCCAGACTAGTGAAGGGCTTTGTCACCATTTGCCAGCCTCACCATGCTTTGCTGCTGTTGCTCCGAATCTTGGCTACTCGCAAACACCCAAAGAGCATGCAGGTCACACCCTGCGTGTTTATGTACAGCAGGGGTGGTCAAAAGGGCCTCTGCAGGCCGGATCCAGCCCACCAAGAGTGTGGATCCAGCCCGCAGACGCCCTGCCGCTCCCCCGCCCCCAGGCCAATTAGAGCCTGGGGATGGGGGGAGCACGCGAAGTTTCCTCTGCCCTGGCAGAAGCACGTGGTGCTTGGAAGCGCCTGCCACATGCCCCAAGCCAATCAGGACCTGGAGGCCCGAAAAGTTTCCTCTGCCCTGGCCCCGCCCTGTGAGGAGCACGTGGCACTTAGAAGTGCTGTGCACTCCTGGCAAGGTGGGAGAAGACTTTGCGCGCTCCCTCGCCCTCAGGCCCTGAGTGCCCTGGGGGCGGAGAAATGCGCAAAGTCTCCTTCCACCCCACCAGGAGCGTGTGGCACTTTTAAGCACCATGCAGGGTGGGGACAGGGCAGAGGAAACTTCGCGCACTCTCCCGCCCTCAGGCCCTGATTGGCCTGAGGGAAGAGGAGCGTGGGAAGTCTCCTCCCAGCCAGGGACATGGGCACCTAGGAGAGCAGGGGGGCAAAGGCACTTCCCCACCCCCAGACCAATCATAGTCTGGGGCTGGGGAACCCAGAAGTATCCCAGCCCCACCCCTTCTGCTTGAGGCCCCACTCTCTGGCAAAAAAACTATTGCCCTCCCCTGATGCACAGCCACAGCCCTGGTCTAGCAGCTCTGACCCCAGCAACCTGTAGGTAAACCCAGCTACACTCTGGTTACTACTTGCAGGGTAATCCCAACACACTCCCAGGCCCAGATTTTCTCTCCAAAAATGTATGTCCTGCGCTGTCCAATCCTCTCCTGGACAATCCAGATATAAGAACATAAGAATATAAGAATGGCCACACTGGGTCAGACCAAAGGTCATCCAGCCCAGTACCCTGTCTGCCAACAGTGACCAATACCAGGTGTCCCAGAGGGAGTGAATCAAACAGGTAATGATCAAGCCATCTCTCTCCTGCCATCCATCTCAGCCCTCTGACAAACAGAGGCTAGGGACACCATTCCTTACCCATACTGGCTAATAGCCATTAATGGGCTTAACCTCCATGAATTCATCTAGTTCTCTTTTAAATCCTGTTATAGTCCTAACCTTCACACCCTCCTCAAGCAAGGAGTTCCACAGATTGACTATGCATTGTATGAAGAACTTCCTTTTATTTGTTTTAAACCTGCTGCCCATTAGTTTCATTTGGTGGCCCCTAGTTCTTATATTATCGGAACAAGTAAATAACTTTTGCTTATTCACTTTCTCCACACCACCCATGATTTTATAGACCTCTATCATAACCCCCCTTAGTCTCCTCTTTTCCAAGCTGAAAAGTCCCAGTCTCTTTAATCTCTCCTCGTATGGGACCCGTTCCAAACCCCTAATCATTTTAGTTGCCCTTCTCTGAACCTTTTCTAATGCCAGTATATCTTTTTTGAGATGAGGAGACCACATCTGTACACAGTATTCAAGATGTGGGCATACCGTGGATTTATATAAGGGCTATCAGACGTTCTCCATCTTCTTCTCTATCCCTTTTTTAATGATTCCTAACATCCTGTTTGCTTTTTTGACTGCCGCTGCTCACTGTCAGAGCAGAGTGATACAGCAGCTGGGGCAGCAAAGCAGCAGGGCCACTGCTCCGCTTCTTCCCCCCATCACTGCTGGTAAGTGCAGGAATGTGGATCCCTGGCCCTCACCTCAGCCCCACTAATCTCCTGGGCCGCTTTGGTTGGGGGAAGAGGCGGGGGGAGGCAGAGCAGGAGTGGGGAAGTAGTGGGTCACAGCAGGGGCACTTCAGAGGTAGGGAGAGACAGAGCAGGGAAGGGGCAAGGCCTGGGACAGAGGAAGTTTGTCCCAGCCCTTCCCTAGAC